TGGGTGTTGAGGATAAAATCTCTAAATGTGCAGATGATACTAAGCCAAGGAGAAGAGTGAACTGCGAGGATGATACTGAGTGACTTCACAGGGACATTGACAAGTTGGCCAAATGGGCAGAAACCTGGCAGATAAATTTCAATGCAGAAAAATATGAGCTTATGCATTTTGCTAACAAAAATACAGAGAAACAATACCAGCTCAATGGTGCAGCGTTGAGGGGAGTATTGGAACAGAGAGATCTTTGGGGTTCATGTGCATCATTCTCTGAAGGTGGCCAGGCAAGTTGAAACAGTTGTGAAGCAGGCTCAAAGGATCTTTGGGTTTAAAAATAGAGGCATTGAGTATAAAAGCAAAGAAGTAATGCTGCACCTCTACAAATCATTGCTAAGACCACATTGCTCAGACTACATTTGTGTTCAGTTCTGGGCACCTTATTTAAGGAAGAACCCTCTGGAGATGGTTCAAAGGAGATTACTGGAATGACAGCAGGAATGAAGGATTTTACGTTTGAGGAAAGATAAATGAAATCAGGCTTATTCTCCTTGGAGCAGAGCAGATTAAAAGGGGACATTATGGACGTGCTCAAAATTATGAAGAATTTTGAGAGGGTAAGGTAGAATACTCTGTTTCCACTATGTCAATAACCAGGGGTCACAATTTCAAGACTGTCACCAAGACAGCTAGGAGTGAGATGAGGAGAAACATCTTTACTGGGAACGTTGATAGGATTTGGAATGCGCTGCCTGGGAGAGTGGTTGAGGTGGATTCCATATGAGGTATGAAAAGAGAGCTGGATATATATTTGAAAATGATGAAATTAGAGGGTAATGCAGATAGGGCTGGAGAACAATCCCGCCTTGAATAATAGCTCACCACAATTAAAAAATAAATGCGGAGTAGATTCAATTCATTGGCTCATCTGCCCTGGCCCACTGACCAGGAGATCAAATGGACACTCAAGTTAGGAATAGACAGTGCAAAATCTCAAATCCCTGCCATCAAGCGTCAGATCATGCCGCAGCGGGAGAAATTGGCCCACTCAGAGTTATGTGAGAGATGGTTATTCAGATGGTTTCTCAAGGCAAGCTCATCTTTGGAACTGATGTCTGGCTGAGTGAATTGAAACAAAGGTTAGCAATTTGTCAGCTTCAGAAACTTGACACTCCTCTGTCTTCTCTTCCTTCCTGGAAGGAACAATTGCTGTCTATCAATTTGTGAAGCTTTGAAGGGATTCTTCTGTGCTGTCTCATAATGTCCGTGGAAGGTTGGCGTAAACGTTTCCCTCTTCATCTTGACCTGGTTCCTCATCCCCTCGCATATCTGTGTGCCTCAGGGTGGCGTATGTGTTGCAGGATGGTTGCTGGTCTGCTTGGTCAGCCTGAAAATAGGACAATACAGAAACATAGTAAATGAGGAGCAGGAGCAAAATTGGTGGCCTCATGGACAGTGAAGATGGTTATCTCAGAGTGCAACAGGAACTTGATCAACTGGGCCAATGGGCCAAGGACTGGCAGGTGGAGTTTAATTTAGACAAATATGGAGGTGTTGCATTTTTGGTGAGGCAAACCAGGGCAGGTTAATGGTAGGGCCCTGGGGAGCGTTGTCAAACAGAGGGATCAAGGGGCGCAGGCACATAGTTCCATAAAGTGGAGTCACAGGCAGACAGCAAGTTTGGCACACTTGCCTTCATCAGTTATAACACTGAGTATAGGAACTGGGATGTTATGATGTGGCTGTGCAAGACATTTCGCCCCTAAGAACTCTATGCAACTACTTGAGCAACATTCACTGCTCTGGCCTTGACCACTTTCTGTGGCAGAGAATCCCACAGGCTCCCCACCCTCTGGGTGAAGATATTTCTCTCCATCTCAGTCCTACCCTGTCTCCTTTAGATTGTGACCCCCAGATTCTGGACTCACGTGCCCTCAGCCCCTCCTCCGGCCACATTTCTAGTACTGTGTACAATTCTGGACGCCCTGCTTCAGGAATGATGTTGAACTAGAAAGGACACAAAAATTTTTTTCAAGGATATTATTGAGACTGAAGGGCTTGAGTTATAAGGAGATGCTGGATAGGCTAGGACTGTTCTTCCTGGAGCGTAGGATGTTGAGTGGTGATGTTACAGAGGTCTATAAAATCATGAGGGGCGTACATCAGGTGAATATCCAAGGTCTTTTCTCCAGGGTAGGGGAGTCCAAGACTAGAGAACAGAGATTTAAGGTGAGAGGGGAAAGATTTAAAAGAGACTGGAGAGTAACTTTTTCATGCAGCGGGTGCATATATGGAACAAGCTGCCAGAGAAAGTGGTGGAGGCTGATAAAATTACAACATTTAAAAGGCATCTGGACAAGTACATCAATAGGATAGGTTTTGAGGAGAATAGGCCAAATGCTGGCAAATAGAACTAGTTTAGTTTGGAAAATTTGGTCGGCATGTACGAGCTGAGATGAAGAGTCTGTTTCTGTGCTGCATGACTCTATGATTAGGGTATTCGGCCCTTCCAGCTTGCTCCAGCCATTCAATGGGATCATGGCTGATTACCCCAGTTATCCCCTATTCCTCCACTTTCTCTGTTTCGCCCCTAAGATCTCTATGCAACTCCTTGAACAACATTCACTGCTCTGGCCCCAACCACTTTCAGTGGCAGAGAATCCCACAGGCTCCCCACCCTCTGGGTGAAGACATTTCTCCCCATCTCAGTCCTTCCCGGTCTCCTTTAGCCTGTGACTCCCTGATTCTGGACTCACACACCCTCGCCCCCTACTCTGGCCATCAGCAACATCTGTGTTTACCCCTGTTTAGTCCTGTTAAAATTTTATAGGTTTCTGTAGATCACCCCTCATTCTTCTCAACACCAGTGAATATAATCCTAACCGATCCAGTCTCTCCTCATCCATCAGTCCTGCCATCCCAGGAATCAGTCTGGGAAACCTCTGCTGCGCTTCTTCCATAGCCAGGACATCCTTCCTCAGAGAAGGAGACCCCAAACTGCACATACAACACTGCAGGGTGTGGTTTCTCCCTGTAAAATTGCAGCAAGACAGCCCTGCTCCTGGACTGGAACCCTCTCACTATGAAGGCCACCATCCTATTTGCCTTCTTCACCATCTGCTGCTGCTGCAATGCTCACTGGCAGTGACTGGTGTACAAGGTACACCCAGGTCTTATTGCACCCCCACATCCCTATCTGGATAATTTTGGATAATTTGTTTTCCTGGTTTTGCTCCCAAAGCGGATATGCTCACGCTGATCCACATTAAACTGGGTGAAGCATTCAGTGTCAAGTCTACAAGCTGGACATTCGGAGGGAGCAGGCGGTGAGCACGTGGGGATGGGAGGGGGTGCAGTGAGTGTGAGGGACAGAGGGGATGGGTGGTGAGAATAACACACTTTAGCTGGAAGACAGTGAGAGTGTACATGATGAGCTGTGAATATCTGGGGTCGTTATACCGACCAATTCACCTTAGAAAAGCATATAATTGGAACAAGCCTAAAACTGGCGATGACGAATGTTATTTCGCTGTATTCTGAACAGGATGTGGCCAGCTCTGCCAAGGTGGCAAGTGGATGTCAATCTCAAAATGTCCTTGAACGGATCGACTTGCTCGGCCTGAAGGGTCGCAAAGGGTTAGGAGTCACGTGCAGAGCAGACCAGGTAAGAACGGCATAAGGACCATCAGAGACAGGAACGGGAGTAGGCCATTTGGCCCTTCGAGCCTGCTTCGCCATTCAATAGGACTGTGGCTGATCCAACATTCCTCATGTCCACTTTCCTGCTCTTTCCCTTGATTCCCCGACTGATCAAGAATCTGCCAATCCCAGCCTAAAATATACCTTTCCCCTGCTGCCACATATACACACAGCTCTCTGTGGCAAGAAGTTCCAAAGACTCTTAGCTCCCTTCGAGAAGAAATACCTTCTCATGTCTTCACAAGTGAACCAGACGATTTTTGTTCCTGACAATGATCATCATTAGAGTCTTAACTCCAGATCTGTTTTGTTTAAAGTTGAATTCAAAATCCACCACCTGCCACAGCAAGACTCAAATTCAGGTCCTCAGAGTATATCCCAGTTATTTGACAAAATAGGATATTGCATTATTTCAGAAATTGAAACCGAATCTCATCAAAATGCAATGTTAAGATCAGAATAAATTGCCCCACACCATTGAGCTAAACATCGACTACAGTCTACAGTGCAGAAGTAGGCCATTCGGCCCATTGAGTCCACACCAACCCTCCAAAGAGCATCCCACACAGACCCACTCCTCTACTCTATCCCTGTAACTGCATTTCCCCCGATAAATCTGTCTAATCTGCACACCCCTGGACACTATGGGCAATTTAGTATGACCAATCCAACTAACGTGCACACTTTAGACAATGGGAGAAGACTGGAGCACCTGGCAGAAACCACACAACCACTGAGCCACCGTGTTGCCCAATGTTTTTGGCCATATAGGGCTTGGTTAGCTCAGTTGACTGTCTGGTCGTGCTGAAAGCGAGTGGTTCAGTTTCTGCACTGGTTGAGATTGCTGTGAATGATCATTCCCCTCGCCTTAGATGTGGTGACCCTCAGGTTAGACAGTAAAACAGTTGTTGCTGTTGTGTGTCTCTCTCTCTCTCTCTCTCTGTAATGAGACAACGGTGACTCTACATTAATGACCTGCTAAAAACGTAACTTTGCTGATTAAAAATTAACTGCCAGCTTTTTCACTGCAAAATAACTTACGTGTTTCCCTCCTGATGCAACATCACAGTGAGCTGTAAATAAAAGAAAAGACACTGTAACGACAGAATGTATCTAAATGTACGGGGAGAGGGTGCAGAGGCAGATTTACCAGGATGTTGCCTTAGACGCTGGAGAGTGTCAGTGATGGAGAGAGATTGGACAGACTGGGGTTGTTTTACTTCGAGCAGAGGAGATTGAGAGGCTGAACATGATTGAGATGTATCAAATGATGAGGGAGCATAGATTGGGTAAGCAGGAAGAAACTTTTCCTCCTTGATGGAAGAACTAATGAGGAAAAATGTTTTCACCCAGATGGTGGTGCGGAACCTAGAACTCACTACCTGTAAAGATGGGAGAGGCAGAAACCCTCATCACATTGAAGAAGTATTTCGATGTGCACTTGGAATGCCAAGGCAATGGGCTAAGTGCTGGGGAAACGAAATGAAAGAATAGTGAGGTGGTTGTTTTTGACTGGCACAGACTTTTTTTTTGTGCTGTAGACATCTATGACACTGTGACGAACCCACTTTGAGATGTGTGTTCTACATACAAGATACTATCTAAACGTAAGGTAATTTTGTCCATTTCATTTTCAAAGATAAGGGGTTTGTCTTATGGAGAGACATTGAACATTTAAGCCGATAATCTCTGGAGTTTAGAAGAATGAGAGGAGATCTAACTGAGGGATCTCAGACGGAAAGGAGACAGAAAGAGAATGTTTGCTCATGTGGGACAATCTAGAACAAGAGGTCACCATTTCAGGAGAAGGGGGTGGGACAGATTGAAAACAGAGATGAGGAGGAATACTTCTCTCCAAGTGAGAGAGGGATGTGAATCTGTGGGATTTGCTGTGCTGTGCGTACATACTGCTGCTCCCGAGTGTGTGGGGGATGTTGGGACACTGAATAAATTGGAGGAGGAGACAGACAGATTTTTAATCAATGATGGGTTACAGGGAGTGGGGGCAGGAAAGTGGAGTTGAGGCCAAGATGGGATCAACTGCGCCATATCGAATGGGGCCGCAGGCACCCAAGAGGCTGAACGGTCTCCTCCTGCTCCTAGGCCTGAGGTTGTATTGGTCATTCACTTGCCTGAGCACATTTTAGTGTGGGTAGTACATTGAATAGGGACAGAAAGCTCTTATTCTGAGGTGCTAAAGCTTGTAATCCGTTACAGGTCATTCAGTAAGAGTGAATCTAAGACCATATGATAACGGAGCAGAATTAGGCCATTTGGCTCATCAAGTCCGCTTCGCCATTTGATTGAGGCTGATATGTTTCTCACCCCCATTCTCCTGCCTTCTCCTCCGGCCCTTGATTTCATTACCAATCAAGAACCTATCTGTCACTGCCTTAAAGACACTCAATGACTTGGCCTCCACAACCCTCTGCAGCAATGAGTTCCACTGATTCACCACCCTCTGGCTGAAGAAATTCCTGCTCATCTCAGTTCTAAATGGTCATCCCTTCACTCTGAGGCTGTGCCCCTCATGTCCTAGTCTGTCCTATTCGTGAAATCATCTCCTTTGTTCACTCTATCCAGGCCTCTCAGTGTTCTGTAAGTTTCAATCAGATTTGCCCTCATCCTTCTAAACTCCATTGAGTACAGACACAGAGTCCTCACCACTCCTCATCATACAAGCCCTTCATCCCTGGGATCTTGTAAATCTCCTCTGGACCCCCTCCAAGGCCAGCACATCCTTCCTGAGGTACGGGGCCCAAAGCTGCTCACAATATTCCAAATAGGGTCTGACCAGAGCCTTATAGAGCCTCAGCAGTACATCTCTGTTCTTGTATTCTAGCCGTGTTGAAATGAATGCTAACGTTACATTAACTGCCAAATGAACTTGCATGTTAACCTGAAGAGAATCCTGAACTAGGACTCCCAAGTCCCTTTGTGCTTTAGATTTCCGAATCCTTCCCTATTTGGAAAAAAGTCTATGCCTCCATTCCCACCAAAGTGCATAACTTCACACCTTCCCCCATTGTATTCCATTTGCAATTTCTTTCCCCACTCTCCTAGCCTGTCCAAGCCCTTCTGCAGCCTGTCCTTGCACCTAACTTTCTGTCATCGAAGAAACCGGAAATGACAATGCTCCCCATGCAAACAATGCTGGACCCAGAGTGAATGGCCCCAGTGACCAAGGCCAGAAGGGGCCACTCTCAGACATTAAGCTGTTGTGTTGGGGTAATAAACAGATTGATGTCCCAGTGCCCATACTTTAGGTGTCCCCTCAATACAAGATAAACAATATAGCAGTTAGCCATCGGTGTATGTTTCCCACTTCCAATTCACATTACCCTGTTGTCAATTTAGTTGACATTGATGGAATTTGACAATGATTTGGGTGAATTGCAAATTAGTAAATTCAAATCATGTAAAAAGATTCGAGTAGCTTGGGCAGGTCTTTGTTCCAGGCTTTAAGCAAGAGGAAACCAGTGATATTAAAACTGGCTGGGTTTTTTGAGAGTCGAGATGAACCAGAGAAAATCTCCACTTTCACTGAGCCGGAAAGGTCATAAAAATATATATACTGTATCCTTTACCAGTGTTTCTTGGCTTTGAGATAGTGACGACTGAGTACACCAAACCACCATCCATTTTGGAATCATCTATAATCAAGAAACAATAAGCAAAAGGAGTCGAAGGGTTAAAGAACAGAATGTTAAAACGACAGCAAAGGGCGCCTCCAGTTTAAATACGGAGTGATAATTAAGGTCAGACAGCCAACCCGGCAGGAATATAAACCGAAGCTCTTGGCAATGTATGGACATTTCTCACAGCAGTTCACAGAGCAAGTGTCTCAACAACATTGAGTCTGGGAAATTGACAATGGAAATAACGAGATGTCCAATGAATTCAATGGATATTTTGCATCAACATTCGGTACAAAGTGTGCACCTATCCTCCCAGAACAAGCTAACAATAGGGAAATGGAAGGTGGAGGCCTGGGAAGTTTAATTTTTTTTATTCAATCATCTGGCATGGGCATCGCGCGTATTTATTGCCTGTCCACAATTGCCCCCTTGAGAAGGTGGTGGTGAGTTGCCTTCTTGAACTGCTATCGGTAGACTCTCAATGCCCTTCAGGAGGGAATTCCAGAATGTTGACCCAGTAACACTGAAGGAGTGGCTGATATATTTCCAAATCGGGATGGTGAGTGGCTCAGAGGGGAACTTGCAGGGGGTGATGTTCCCCATATATCTGCTGCCCTTCTAGATGGATGTGATTATGGGTCTGGAAGGTGCTGTCTGGAGGATCTTTGGTGAATTTCTGCAGTGCATCTTGTTGGAGGTACACACTGCTGCTACTGAGCGTCAGTGGTGGAGGGAGTGGTTGCTTGTGGATGTGGTGCCAATAAGCAGGGGCTGGATGCTTTGTCCCTGGATGGTGTCAAGCTTCTCAAGTATTGTTGGAGCTGCACCCATCCAGGCAAGTAGGGAGTATTCCCTCACACTCCTGACTTGTGATTGAGATACTTGGAATAAGGGCAGCTTCTGACCATATAAGCTCCAAACCAAAGAAATCACAAAATATCAATATCAATATTGTTTTGTCTTCCTTAGATGGATACCAACGTCCCCCCCTACAATTTACAAGTTAAGCCATACCCATCTCAAGCCACCTCCCTCAGACAAACGGAAAGCCATTGTTTTTCCGCTGTTTAATAATATTTCTCAGAGTACACTCCGTTGTTCTAGAATCTCGAGGTTTGTAAACAAAATTACCGTCGTGTGTCCCTGTGTTCTTTACTGAACAGTACACAGCTCCAGCACAGCTCGACACGAAAGGGTCAAAAGAAAAGGCAGACAGTTGTCATCAACAGTAAACAGTCAGTTCCCAAGTGGCAAATAATATCTGTCCCTGCTGAGTTTCTCCAACAATTTGTGTGTTTCTTTTTAAATCTGACATTCATTGACTGAAGAAAGCGAGTGTAATGCTGGCCTTTATATCTAAAGAACTGGAGTACAGGGACGCAGAAGTTATGCTGCACTCATACAAAACCCTGGTTAGACCCCACTTGGAGCAGATCTGGGCATCACACTTCAGGAAGGATAGATTGGCCTTGGAGGGAGTACAACGTAAGTTTACAAGAATGATACTTGGACTTCAGGGGTTAAGTCATGAGGAGACATTAGACAAATGAGCCTGTTTTCTGTAAAATTTAGAAGGCTCAGGGGTGATCTGATCGAAGATATTAACAGGAAAAGACAGGGTGGATAAATAGAAACTATTTCCACTGACTGGGGTTTCTGGAACGAGGGACGGCGTAGTCTGAGAATTAGGACCAGACTGTTCAGGAGAGATGTCAGGAAGCACTTCCACACACAAAGGGTGGGAGAGGTTTGGAACTCTCTTCCACAAACAACAGTGGATGCTGGATCAGTTGTTAGTTTTCAGTCTGTGAGAGGGAATTCTTTTGAGCTAATGTATTTAGGGGATAAACGCCAAAGGCAGGTATATGGCAGAACAGCCTCAAGGAAAGGATGGCCTACTCCTGATTTTTTTTGTACGAATATTCAACGTTTGTAAATCGGGAAGACCCTGCAGTTACAAAGTGTTATTTTCATGCACTGGCGCAATTACAGATTTGAAATACGTCCAACTGTTTTATTTTCACGCATTGCAGATCCTCACCACCCTCTGGGACAAACAGTCCTCAGATCCCTTCTACACCTCTTACCGTTCACCTTTAAATGTTGCCCCCTCTTCCTTTGTCATTGACCCTTTGACTGAGGGGAACAGCTGCTTCCTATCCCCCCCGTCCATGCCCTTCATAACAGAGTCACCGAAACAGACCTTCAGTCCAACTAGTCCATGTTGACCATGTTCCCAAACTAAACTAGTCACACCTGCTTGTGTTTGGCCCATATCCCTGCAAACCTTTCCAATTCATGTACTTCCCCAAATGTCTTTTAAATGCTGTAACTGTACCCACATCCACCACTTCCTGTGGAGTTCATTCCCTACATGAACTGCTGTCTGTGTAAAACAAACATTGCCTCTTATGTCTTTCTTTTTAATCTTTGTCCTCTCACTTTAAAAAGAACCCCAGTTTTAAACTCCCCCAGCCGAGGGAAAAGACACCTGCCATTCTCCTTATCCGTACCTTTGTTATTTTATAAACCTCTATCAAGTCACCCCTCAACTCCGGTGAAAATAGTCCCAGCCTATCCCACCTCTCCCTTTGACTCACCCCTTCCATTCCCACCAACATCCTGATACATCTTTTCTGAGCCCTCTCCAGATTAATAGTATCCTTCCTGGAACAGGACAACCAGAACTGGACACAGTACTCCAGAAGAGGCCTGAACAACATTGTGTACAACCACAACGTGATGTCAGAACTCCTATACACAATGGTCTGAGCAATGAAGGCAAGCGTGCTCAATGCATTCTTAACCACCCTGTCGACCTGTGACTCAAACTCTGAAGAATTATGTGCCTGATCCCATCAGTCTCTGTTCTACAAAACTATCCATTTTACACACCTCTATCATTTCCGCCTTCCTCAACAACCTTCTCTGCTGTAAAGAAAACAACCCAAACTTCTCTCCATCGCTTACAGAAAAAGATTTGTTTCTGTCGGTCTTCCCAATCAGATGAATACCAGTTCGAACAATGACTAATACATGACATTGTGGAATTGGTAGCTCACAGATTCACATTCACCATTCAGTCGACTGGCCCAATCTCTGCATGATCGAAATTTCTTGCGGGTCTGTCCTCACTCACGTCCTCAGCTCGGTTTCCCATCGCCTCGCTTGGAAGGAAGTATTTTCAGATTGTTACCTGAGCAAGTTTCAATTCCCCTTGTGACAACGATTCACAATCTTCTCCCCATTTGAGAGAAGCCATTTGTTCTCACCTCTGCTTTTGATCTGCCCCACCACTTTCTCCTGAAACAATGACTCTCTTGTTCTAGATTGCCCCACATGAAGAAACATCCTCTCCATCTATTTTGTCAATTCTCCCCTTTAGCATCTTATATCCCTCAACTTAATCTCTTGTCATTCTTCTAAACTCCAGAGAAACTGCTCAATCTCTCTTCTAAGACAAACCAGTCATTTTTGGAAATGATCGAGCGATCTCCTTTGAACTGCCTCCAATACAACTACAACCGCCCTCAAGTAAAGAGACCAAAATTGTACCAGTCTCTCCTCATAAAGCTAACAATTCATTTTGGTAATCAATTCAGTGAAACTCCTCGAAACTCTCTCCAATGCAACTACAGGGGACCAAAGGTCGATACAGTACTCCGGATGCAGAAATCCCAATGCCTTGTACATTTGAGAAGTCACACAACACCAGGTTCTCGTCCAATGAGTTTATTTGAAATCACAAGATTTTGCAGCACTGCCCCTTTGTCAGGTGAAGTGAGGGAGAAGCACAGACACGGAATTTATAGGCAGAGATATCAAAAGATCATACAAATGCTTTGAGTGGAGTCTCAAATAATCAGTCTCTTCAGGTGATCAATAGTTTCAGAGTATTCATAGGACATCAGCAGCTGAATAACAAGCAAAGGGATGAGCTATAATCCGATTAAATGAGGCAAAGAGATTACAAAAACTTAAAAATGTAGTGGTGCTGCAAACAAATGAATGGAATAACGTGACAGGTACAAGAGTCACATGCCAAGGGTTCAACCAAAGTAATAAGTAAACTAAAACTGTATAAACTAATTAAGGTAGAGAGATCATACTAATGTATCAAGGTGGTGGTGTGAAAACAGGACAGTGAAGAACATTTTACAAATACAGAACTATGGGTGGGGTTACACGTAGCGTGCCATGAGCGCAAGATCACGGTTGAGGCCGTCTTCGTGGGTACGGATCTTGGCTATCA